TTTCCCATTGGTTAAGGAAAATAGAAGTGAGGAATTTTATCTCTTTATTTTATTTTATTTAAATAAATTAATAAATTAAAAAATTAAAATGAAAATTTTTTTCTCTCTTCTCTAATTTTCTTTATAATCAAAAAGAGAAAAATTTTATTTTATTTTTTTGTCTTTTTTATTTTTTTCAACCCAAACATATAATAAAAATGTTACTTAATTTATAATTCACAAGTAAATTAAATTTAATTAATGTTTTATATATAATAATATAATAATTATATGGATATGTACATCTTTTTCAAATCAATTAATCCGATAATAATATAAATTTCTAAGGGACAAAAGTTCTGTTTCAACAAGATTTTGAAGATCAAATCATTAAATCCCAAAGCCCAGGAAAACCCTAGGCCTTAGGCCCATAGCCGCTTCAAAGGCACCGCCTTCTGTAACTATAAATACCTAGTGTCGCCCGCAAACACTACCACCACCTAACCCTATTTTCCGACCGGCTAGCGTTTGAGGATATTCCGATTCTTATTTTCCGCCAACGAAATTAAGATTCAAGGCATACAGAAATCTTCCGGCGTCAGAAACACCACCAGTAGGTCTCCTTCTCTCGTCCATATCCACAAAGATTTTGGCCTTTCTGCTTCTTTTTTTTTCTTCTTTTTTATAAGTTATTATTATTATTATGTAGAAGCCATTGTTGCACTATTAGTTGCGGCCGATTCCCTTGTTCTAGGGTTTGCTTTCCTTGACAGTTTTTGCTTCTGATTCTGTGATTTGTTTTCCCTGACGGTCTTTTGCTTTCGATTCTGTGATTTGCTTGGTTTCCTATTGATACTGTTTACATGGTCCTTGATTTTGGATCGTTAATTCATCTGACGTTTCTTTGCTTTGTAGCTTTAGCAATCATGGCTGAGGATGTTCCTACTGAACTGAAAGACGAGATGGGAGAGGTAATCCCTATTATTCTGAACTTTTTTTTTTTTTTTTTTTTAATAATCTTAACCTAACATCTTATTGGATCCTGAGGAGTTGGATGAAATGGGTTATATATATAAATAATATACAGGTGTGAAAAATTTGAGACCAATGAACTACTCTATCCTACCATGTTGCCTTAGCTTTGAATGAGTTTTAATCTTTATATTTTAGGGAATCCCTAATTGCTTTCAGTCTCATGCAGGATTTTGTATTTTAGGGAAAAGATGCACTTAATTTGTTCTTTTTCTTTGTTTGGCCTTAGCTTTGAATAAGGTTTTGCTCTTATCTGTTGAGACAACCCTTGGGGGATTATATGGATTAATGACTTTTTTGCTTTCATTTTAGCTTGCTCCCTTTGATCCTACTAAAAAGAAGAAGAAGAAGAAGGTTGTTCTGCAGGATCCTGCAGACGAATCTGTGGATAAGCTGGCTGAGAAAACTGAATCATTGTCGGGTACTTTATCAAGAATTACTATAAGTGTGACAATCTGTGTTTTGATTTTCTGGGTATTCATATAATTTCTTTCTACTTGCAGTGTCTGATGGGCTTGAAAGTACTTTTACTGGCCTGAAAAAGAAGAAGAAGAAACCAGTAAGTAGCAGGGTATTTTTGAAGTTGAAAAATAGATGATATATATTGTTTTTCTCATGGGACTAACAGAATCTTATTTGATTTTTGCAGGTAGAGACAAACATAATGAATGAGGAAAGTGGAGATGGGGGAGATGATATTGATGGTAAGACATCTAATTCAGTGATTGAAACTATAGTTCAGTATGTCAATGTGCTCTTGCCTTATAGATTTTTCTGTCCACTAAGATCTCCCTGGTGAAGATGAAGAAGGTGAAGGAGTTGTCCTGCAGCAGCGCTATCCCTGGGAAGGAAGTGATCGTGATTATAAGTATGAGGAGGTACATAATGAATTCATGAACCACGATGTGTTTTAACTAGAGTTTTTTGTTTGAAGTGTTAATATAAAATTGTGCAGAAAATGTCTTTTTGTAGTGACCTGAGGTTAATGGTATACATCTTGGTTGCTTTTTGAGTTGATTGACTTCTAGGGTTCCACTTTAGTGTCTTTTCTTTCCTTTTTATTTTACCATGTGAACATTACCTTGTATATTTAATTTTATATGTTATCTATTCTTCTATCATAACATGGTTTTTTTGTTTGGTGTTGGATGATGCATGCAGCTTCTTGGTCGAGTGTTTAACATTCTTCGGGAGAATAACCCAGAGCTTGCTGGTGATAGGCGTAGGACTGTTATGAGGCCTCCACAAGTTCTCCGTGAGGGCACAAAGAAAACAGTTTTTGTGAATTTCATGGATCTTTGCAAGACGTGAGTTCATCTGTTTTTATTGCCCTTATTATTCATTTTATTTCTTGTACCATGACCATGTGTTTGTTAGTGCATCTTGTGTCTCAATGTCCTTCATTTCATTGGGCATTTACAATGTAAATGAATATGATGTTTCCTGTTGTTCTGATTATCTTGATGACCTTCATAGGGCTTTTAAACTTTGTGCCCTTGTCTAACTACTTTTTACTTTCTGGTAATACTCTCTAGGATGCATCGGCAACCAGATCATGTTATGGCATTCTTGCTTGCTGAGCTGGGGACCAGTGGTTCTCTTGATGGGCAGCAAAGGTTGGTTGTGAAAGGCAGGTTTGCACCCAAGAATTTTGAAGGGATTTTGCGTCGTTATATCAGTAAGTCTCTTATTTATGTTGCATGTCCATGCACACAAGGGAAATACAAACATTACACCTGAAGCATGGAAGTTAGCTGTTTTCTAAGCATTTGATGTCTTATTTTTCAGATGAGTATGTCATTTGCCTTGGGTGTAAAAGTCCAGATACAATTCTCTCAAAGGAGAATCGTCTGTTCTTCCTCAGATGTGAGAAGGTAGCTGTTACTTGCTTTCGTATTTTCTGTGGCATGGTTGGTGGTTTGTTTTAGGATTGTCTAGAATGTCAGTTTTTTCTACTAATATGGAGTATGAAGCCTCCTGAATTGTTGATGTGGGAAATTGTAGTCTGAGACTCAATATTGTAGCTTTTGCTTTCATTTTGACTTTTATGAAGTTGGCCAGTCAAGTGGGAAAAAAGCTCAGCCTTACATTAACAACTCTATTAGATGGACTCTAGTCTCATCATAGAAGGCCAATGATGATTTAAGATTTGCCTACATTGTCAGAGTGTCATACTGATGATAAAAATTGCAAGTTTTGAGGCCTGCTGATAGTCTTTCTGGAAACTTATTTGGTGGGAGTTGGGCGTATTATAATTAATTAATTACATATTCTATAGTCTCTGGGTGAAAATCGATTTGATGAGGAAGCTTTATCTATTAATGGGGTGGAATTGATCTTAAAATGATTGTCTCATAGAATCCTGTTACTGTTGCTACTGCTGCGTAATGGGTTATTTCTGATTTTTATAATACGGTAAGGTGTTTCCCTAGAGATGCTTATATTGCTTTTTGATAACTGGTCACAAACTTTGGATACATGACTTGAAAAAATGAATTCGAAACTATTATTTTCTTGTTTTATATATATATATATATATAAATGCTCTAAAGTGAATCTAGAATGAGAGGGGGCTTATGATGTTACTAGAACTGCCTACATTGTCAGATTGGCTAGTGAAAGAAATGATTTTTCTGAAGCCTCCTAGTAGACCATACCATTCATTGAGAAGCTGTCTTTGAATTGAAATTGCTGAAGAAAGATTTTATTCTCTATATATTTTCTGGTTTGGCAGCTTTTCTCATATTCTACATTCTGCAAGATTGTATTATCTCTTATCTCTGTAATTTGTTTGTAATCACATGCTTATCTTTTTTATGTGGTTCTTGCAGTGTGGCTCTGGACGATCGGTTGCTCCAATTAAAGCTGGTTTCGTTGCTCGTGTTGGCCGCAGGAATACTGGCACATGAGTCACTTTACTTTTTGTATTTTACCTCGTCTATCCCAATGTTGATTAGGCTTTCATGGTGGTCTGAATCTTCATTCTGAATAAGGGATTGGATTCCTGTTAAACTTTATTATATGAATGGAACTTAATCATTAATCATGTTCGTGTCGCTTTTGGATCTATGAAATAATGGGTTGCTAGATGATGCTGTTCTTTGATCTTCAACTCTCGATGAGATATTGGATTGGCACTTGTTTAACTTGTCCTGATCTGCAAATTGCCCCCTTCAATATTTTTTAGTTAAACAAATTAATACCGAATAAAAAATTAAAGTAAATTTTTATTTTAAAATTTTATTATAAAGATTTTATTTTGAAGTAATGGTCGTAAATTTAATGGTTAGATATTGATTTTCTGTTAGATTTGAAGAGTAAATGAAATTTCGACATGATATTTTATTTTAATATATATATTTTTGTAAATATTAATTTACTTTTAACTTAAAAATATTGGCGTAATTTCCTCGCTCATCTGTCTTTTAATTTTGAATTATTGAATGGTGGTCCATGGTCGTGTGTAACGGTATGGTCCGTATGGACGGTGAGCCCTACTTCTCATGATTTCTTTTAAATGGGCCTTGTCCCTTGATAGTTAAAGCCCCTTTTCTGTGGCTGATAACTCGATAAACGTAGGCCCGGGAATTGGTTGGTAAGGTCTTCATGAATCACACCGAAGTCTAGATTTTTCTTATCAACTTAGGACTTGTTAAAAAAATAAAAAAAGGTGTCTAGATTTTTTTTTTATATATTTATTTGATATAAATTTTTATTTCCATACCGAGTGGATTTAACTATAAATAATCTGCCAATTGGTACGACTCCATAATTCATACTGATCCATCTTGCCTTTTTTAGTTAAATAGTAAGTACTATTATCATGCATAGCATAGCTGAGCAAAATCTTTTGATTTCCAAAATGAATTAATAATAAAAAAAAAAAAAGATTGAAAACCGTATTTGTATTTGTAGCTGAAAGAAAAGAAAAGGAAAGGAAAAAAAGGTTATTGACTTTGAAGAATTGATGAGTGGGCATCCCAATTCCCAACATCTCATTCACATGTGAGCGAGCATTATTTGGACAGAGGAGCAGAAAATGAACATTTAAAGCAAAGCACACACCTTTCTTTCATCCTTCCATCCTTCCTTCCTTTTTCCCCCCTCTTTGCTGCTGCCCTTTCTTTCTCTTGCGCTACCTGAAATTTCTGCTCTTCTCGCTCTCCCATCCGTCTGCCGACTCTAAGCTCTCCGTCTTCGGTAAGTCTATTACCACTGCAAATCTCTCTCTCTCTTTTCTTTTTCTTTCGACGAATTTCCACTCACATATCTGCTAATTCTGTGGATGAGCAAATATGATTTGATTTGGATTTCGGATTTTGGATTTTTAAGCTCCGCTTCCATTTTTGCATTCTTATTGAAACTGAAGCCTGCCGATTTTTCCTCTTTCAATATTAACAATAAATTAGTTCATATATAGGACTAATTGATTTCTCATTTTTGTCTATGAATTGAATCATGGCTTTTTATTTTCCGGATTTGTTTGCTTGCTTTTGGCATAATTTAATTGTTTTGCATAATTATGCAAAAATAAATAAATAAATAAATAAATTTGTTATTTTTGTTCCTTAAAATTTACAATATCTTTTTATGTATGGATGATGGTGACCGATTGGCAAAACGAAACGCGTGGAAGCAGCTGGAGCTGTAGTGGGGACAGTTGTATTTTTATGAGGTTTAAAAATCAAATATAATTCCCGCGGATTTATCTATTTAGTCTCTCCCTCCTCTCCTCACGTTACGCACGTGGTTTCCCCTGCAATCTCGGACGGGCTCACGTGTTCCATTTGTTTGAGAGTCTTTAATTCAACTTTCGAAAAAGTATTTTATAATTTAAAATAGTTTAAATTATCTTGATTCTAAAATAATAAGTTTTTTTATTTTATTAGATTCTATTTTTATATTACACAAGTGCACATTCTATTCTATTAGTAAAATTTTTGGAGGTAAAGCTAAAACTGCTCTTATTAGGAGTAGTATATCAACAATCAACCATGCTGATGGAATTGTCATAACAATTTTTATTGAGGCTTGCACATGCTTTGTTACCAACATGTTATGCCACTCATACACACACTGATTGATTATAATTTATTGCATTTTATATCCTGAATGGGACTGAATTTTTTTCTTTTTTTAAAATTTTTTGCAGGTTCTGTCTGGGAAGAACATGAAGAGAACGGAATCAAGGAAGTCGCATTCTTGGTGGTGGGATAGCCACATTAGTCCCAAAAATTCTAGGTGGCTTGCAGAAAATCTTGAGGGTAAGTAATAACCAGTACCGGTGCATTTATTTTTGTTCCTCTATACAAATTAATCTATGTATGATTGGTTTTGTTGATGTTGATCAGTACCAAGGCATCATCTAATTAATGCAAATATATATCTGTAGCTTTTCTAATATATGGTACTAGCTAGCTAGTGTGGTTGAACTGAAATTACATATGATTAGAAAAACTATTTTGATATATAAACATTTTTATATCAAATCTTCATTACGGTTTATCAAAACACACAATATTGTTCTTGTTGGTGAAAATAAGTGAGAGCGAATAGTTTTTATCTATCTATATGCTAAAAATAAGCAAAGTTATTATTATAGGGTAAAGTTGGATAATTTTAGATGCCTATTGCATTGCCTCATTCTGGCGGGGTTGGTGTTTTTCCAGTCCCAACCAACTGCCTGCCTTTTAGGTTGCAATTTGTTTTTATTTTTTTTTCCCCTTGAATTCTGAATCTTCAATTAAAAAGCCTTTTTCATTTCTGAAATTGCAAATTAATCATTTGAGTTGAAAAAAAATGACCAACAAGAAAATAACAAAATGCTCCTTAACACCAGAGATGGATCAGAGCGTGAAAAGGATGTTGAAGCTGATTGAAGAAGATGGAGATTCATTTGCTAAAAAGGCTGAGATGTATTACCACAAGAGACCTGAATTAGTATCCCATGTCGAGCAGTTATATCGCATGTATCGCTCTCTGGCTGAGCGTTATGATCATTTGACCGGAGAGCTAAGAAAGAATCTTCCATCAGACCTTCAATCCCAGAACTCTGGTGTCTCTGACATTGCCTCTGAATTGACCTCCACATGGCCATCTCCTGATCGTCAGCCTTTGTCTCGTCGAAAATCTGGCCCTCGACCTGCTGGTTTTGATGTCTTCCTTGGTACTGCTGGAAGCAGCTCTGATGTAAACCACAAGGAAGGAGATGAATTGTCTTCACTAACAGATTCTGATTCGGAGTCTGATGCTTCCTCTGTCAATAATTACTCGGTTTCATCAGGGAATGGAGGCGACCAAGGGCTCAACAGGAGAATTATGGAATTGGAGATTGAACTACGTGAAGTGAAAGAGAAGCTTCGGATGCAACAACAGGGAGACCACGTAGACTCCCTAAGGGGTGGAGCAAAGAATGACACTGCTGATTATCTTCTTTCTAGAATTGCAGGATATGAGCAAGACCTGAGCATTGCCAATGAAAAGATAAAGCTCTCTCAAGAGGAGATCAGTGGGTTGAGGATACAGCTCCAAAAATATAAATCATTAGAAACTTGCCATCAGTTTGAATCATCAGGAGAAGAAAATGGCAAGTTACAGGATGACAATAGTAATAACCAGCCATCTGAAAGGAGTGGTGCGTTAGGGGAAGACTCCTCAGACTCAGATGGCAAGGTACAGGTCCTGATAGAAGAGCTGAGGATCATGAAAGAAAAGCTTCAGAATTCGGAGAAAGAAATATCCAGTTTGAAGTTGGAGGGTGATGAAAAAATTCAATATCTGAAGGGTGAGCTTGAATTGGTGAAAAGGGATGCAGTGACATGGAAATCGAAAGCAAATGCAGAGAAAAGAGAGGTGTCCAAACTTCAGGAAAGAATTGCAAGGTTAAAGACTAGTTTATCAGACAGGGATCATGAGATCAGGGATCTAAAATTAGCAGTATCGGATGCTGAAGAGAAGATTTTTCCAGAAAAAGCCCATATTAAGGCTGAAATATCGAAATTGTTGGATGAGCGTACTTGTTTAGAGCGGCAGGTGAGAGAGTGGGAGTCGCGGGGCCGTTGGTTGGAGGAAGAAATCAGGAAGGTTGTAAATGAAAGAAGAGAGTCAGAGGAAAGGGTCCATGCAGAAATTCAGCAGTTAAAGGAAAACCTTGATGGTTTAAAAACAGAAAGAGAGGAGGTGGATGCCAAGGTTGAATCACTGAAAGCAGAAGTGAGGTGTAGAGATGAGCAAATGAATGAAATGGAGAAACATTTGCACAAATTGCACAAGGAACATGAAGAGGTAATTGGTATTGCGGAAGGTGCACGTAAAGAGGTAGAGGAATTGAGATGGAGGGCTAAGGAGTTGGAGGAGGAGATTGAGAGGCAGAGAGTGATAATATTGGAAGGAGCAGAGGAGAAACGGGAGGCTATAAGGCAGCTTTGCTTCTCACTGGAGCATTACAGAAATAGGTATGACTGGCTTCGGCAAGCATTTGAGCAGAAGAGAGTCCCGGCTGTTCTAGCGTCATGATTCATGAGTGTGTGTTTGTTTTTCCGATTGGCTTTTGTTTCATTTCATTTTTATATATATGGTGATACATCGGCAATGATATGGTTATATTTATATTGTTATATAAAATTATAAGTTTACAATTTTGATATAGAATTAGATGAGTATGATGTATTATTAAAAAAATGTATACATACAATATTATAAATAGGTTTTTGAGTGAAAATAGTTAATTATTCAATAATATATCATCTTATTGTAAGTTTATAATACTATGTAATATTATAATTATATTATTTTTGTATTATATATGAGTATTGAGAAAATGTTGAAATAAGAATATAAAATTTATTATTTTTTATTTAAAA